CTTTGCAACGCCCAAGAAAACGGCAAGAGAAACAGCTAACCGTAAAAATAAAGAAAGCGAGTATTAAGTCACGCAAAAAACTTGTAATGGCAGACGAATAGGGAACAGGAGAGAAGAGTGAGTGGGGGTGGGGTGGGGCAGGAGTGGGGGAGGAGTGGGGCTGAGGAGGGTGAGTGCGGCAGGGGGAGGAGAGGGGGGTGGGGTAGGGGCAGAGGAAGGGAGGAGTGGGGGTAGGGTAGGGGCAGAGGAAGGGAGGAGTGTGGGGGTGGGGGTGGGGGTAAGGGAGAGAGAGCAAGTTCAGGGTTAGTTCACGGACTCTCACTAAATCTCTCGCCTTACGCAACGCGCGTTTCTACTTTCGTTTAGTTCCTCGGTTTAAAGTTATTTAACGTTTGCATAGATTTTAGGTTGTCCGAGGAAGATGGCCTGTTGGGAATTTCTAACACAACAGAGTTTCTGTATTTTCAGCTAATAATACGACTATCGTAACTTATGTAATATTTAACTAAGTTTATTCTTTTGAGAATGACATGCGGCTTAAAAACATTGTCAGCTTGCCTGTTTGAATATTCCTTTCGGATTCTATATGACACGCAAAACAAAGAAACAGATGGTTTATATACATGTATATCTGTTCTTAGATGTGGGGCTACTCTTTAGTAATTCTTCTACTCACTCTTTCAGTCATATAGCTTATTGGACATTTTTTTACATTCAAAATGGGTTCGGTCACTGTCCAAGGCACCGTAATCATTTATTAAATCCCTGCTTATTCCATCGATATAGATAACACGACGTAATTTTGACTGGGTGAAAGATTACGACAGATACTCTCCGTTAATATGGACACCGATGGTTTAGTTATCTAAGATATTCTCCCTTAATTCGTAAGTTAAACGCAACGAGATTTAATTTCGGTGTCGACTTGGAAGGAAGTCGTCGCCAACGAAGAACTTGGTCGTGATGCCGCGGGTCTTAAATGATGATGAAGCGTCTGACCTTGTCCGCCATAGGGTAGGGATGATGTCTCGCCCAGTTAGGCAACTTTGTTACTATTCTTACGAGACAGATACTCATTACGGGGAACAACAGAATGGTATTGCGGTTCAAGCACCAGTTGTTAAAGATGGGAGAGTACGCTAAGCTTATTGGTTAACGAAGGGCAGGCGGATGGCTAAGTGGCTGTGGAATTTAAATGAACTAGCCAACTCGAGTGGCGAATTGCCTGGCTGGTTGTCCGAGGCAGAACCACAGGCCGTCAAGAATCAGGCCAATCAGTAGTAAAGCGAATTACTTCCGCGAGTTAAGGGGGGCGTCACTCCGGTTGGACTCTAGGTTACGCCGCGCCTTATGATTAGTTTGCTTTTCTTAATAATAACTCTAGCTCTTAATATGATAAAGAGTAATTTAACGAATTCCCCAACACGGCAAATCGCACTTTCAGCTGAGGATAGACGCCAGGGATTCTTATTATGAACACGAAACCGAGAGACTGCTTCATCATACAACAAATGTTATGGAAATGCGTTTTATTGTTGACTCTGACTGTGATGCCATTAGGCTCTTCAATCCTTTCGCGCTTAATTTCAAGACAAATTTCTTCCTTGATTTACTAGGAAATATATACTTATGCATTTTACTTCATTTTACTTTTATTCAAATAGATCACGCTATCAAGGATAATCATGAGATACTCTGCTATGTTGATTTACAACTTTTAAAAAGTGCTTTACCTCTGTTTAGTACTTTACTTACGTATAATTACACAGGAAATATGCTACAAAATCCCATTCGGAGCTACAACACGTGTCCCGCGGGTTCTGAAGGTCATTGGAAGCGGGTGTCTCTGCAAGCGTTTATTTTGGGGGTTAAATCAAGCACTCATTTAACACAACAAAGTCCGGCGGGCTTGAGTAGTATTGTTGCCAGGAGAAACCTAACGCACGTGATTTTGTTGTTATGTCGCTGGTGTTATGTTATCGTTGCCTTAATTACTGTTACTGTATTGTTGCTGATACAAAAATGACTGACGATGATCAGCAAAGGTAATGATGTTTGATTTTAATTTATTGTTTCTAAACAATCAGGACTGTTTAAAATTATGAGATTCCATTTTTGTTTAAGAAAAGTAAGCATCAGGGACCAAGCGATTCTCCAAGGTCACCTCATATTTATTCATTCAGCAACGAAACAAAGTACACTCCATCTTTTAATATAATTGATGTTTTTTTTCATATATATATATAATATTATATATATATATATAGTGTGTGTGTGTGTGTGCGTGTGTGTGTGTGTGTGTGCGTGTGTGTGTGTGTGTGTGTGTGTGTGTGTGTGTGTGGGCGTGTGTGTGTGTGGGCGTGTGTGTGTGTGGGGTGTGTGTGTGTGTGTGTGTGTGAGTGGAGAGAGAGAGAGAGAGAGAGAGAGAGAGAGAGAGAGAGAGAGAGAGAGAGAGAGAGAGAGAGAGAGAGAGAGAGACGTACAGACCGGGATGGAGAGCTTATCTAAATACTGTCATCGGCGTCATTTAGGCTTCTTAGGGGGGCATAGGTGGTTTGGCGAGCGAAACCAACAACAGTGTAGAAAAAGGGTCATTCTAGGGGCATTTTAAGCAAAAACCTGAGCTATATAAGTATAATATACTAAAGAAAAAGTAAAATGGTTGCCCTTAGTGGGGGGGGGGGGGGGCAAGCCAGACCCTGAGGGGGTGCAACTGCCTCCCGCCCCCAAAGTGTATACTTTTGACTGTTATACAGAGAAGGGGCGTCGTAATTACTGTTATGTCTTCCACATAGCTAGACATATTGTATATGTATTGTAACTGCGTCCCACTGATTGAAGGGTAAGGGGGGGGGGTACCAACACGTGGCTAAGCTCCCCACCCCAACCCTTGCGAGTGACAAAGGCTCCACAGCTCAACGCATACCATTATAGAAGAACCACAATAAGCCGCCATTGCAACAATCATCTTATGTTGCCAATGTTTTCCAGACATACAACGTCGACAAGCAAGTTCCAGACAGCGCTGGGACTGGCACAGCTTATCTAACCGGAGTCAAGACGAACTACAAGACCATTGGCTTCGACGCCTCCATCAAATACAATGACTGCCAGACTATGTTCGAAAACAATAAGGTGTATTCCATTGCCAAGTGGGCCCAAGATGCCGGCAAGAGGTCAGGTATGTACCATTTCGATTGTGACGTGTTTTTCGTTAATATTTTGGTACATTTCGTCTTCTGAACTCCCGTGATCTTTTTATTTGAGTGTCGCCTGAGCCTGTTTTTGGGTTAAATAGAACTAATAACAGATAAGTACTCCTCACCGGGATAATAGCCTAGATAAGTATTCCTCACCAGGATTGTAGCCTAGATAAATATTTCTCACCGGGATAACTTAGAGAGGTATTCCTCGCCGAAATAATAACCTAGGAAAGCAATCCTCACTGTAGGTATACCACAAATCGGGAAAATACACCTATATGCCGCTGCACAGAACTGAATGCCGAATTTTGTCGACAGGTGTTGTGACTTCTACCAGGGTGACCCATGCCACGCCAGCCTCCACCTATGCCCACGTCGCGAACAGAGACTGGGAGTGTGACGGCGCTATTTCGGCTGAGGATATGCAAAAATGCCCCGACCTGAAGGACATCGCGAGACAGCTGATCGAAGATGAGCCCGGCAATTCCCTGAACGTAAGGACGTGCCACCTGCTTTGAAGGGCCGAATTTCCGTTTATTCGTGGTATTTTTATAATCATTAGCTATTCGTTTGTATTTATATGCATTCGCGTGTTTAAATTACGCTACTTGGTGTACGGTAGATTGTAAATTATGATCTTTTTAGGTGATCATGGGTGGCGGTTACCAGAACTTCGTCGCCAACGCTACGGACAGACCCAATGACCCCTTGGACGACCAGTGGGCCAGCTGCAGAAGGAAGGATGGGCGAGACCTGGTCAAGAGCTGGCTGGAAGGAAAGCAACAGAGTGGAGTCAAGCACCACTTCGTCCGGTCCAAAACAGAACTGAATGATGTCGACACTTCGGACACTGAATATCTCTTTGGTAAGATATCGACAATTAGTTCGCTTTGACTGCATAAATAGTTGTTCCCGTTTATTAAGTTATTTGGGATAATATCACCCCCCCCCCACACACACACACACACAAACATACCTCCTAAGTCAGTAACCAATAACCAAAGCTTTACTCAAACCAAATAAGTAAGCCTCTTATTCACACATATTATTTCCATGATGAAAAGCCAGGCGGAATTCCACCCCGATGACAGAATACGACCAATCGCGTCGCTTCTGCAAATAATATCCTTTCATGTTTTTCTTCCATCCACATAGTACTGCACTATAATTTTCTAAAAACACACACACACCACACACACACACACACACACACACACACACACACACACACACACACACACACACACACACACACACACACACACACAACACGCACACGCACACACTACAGTACAGTATATAACGTTCTTCAATGTCTTCTTCCGCCCGCACAGCCCTATTTTCCAACGGCCACGTCCCCTACGAGCACGAGAAGAAGAGCCTGAACCTGGACGTCCCGACGCTGGCCGAGATGACCGAGAAGGCGATCGAGATCCTCTCAGCTGGAGACAACGGCTTCTTCTTGCTGGTGAGGCAGACTAGCGATCGAGTAGAATGATGAAAGCTTGCTCACTAACCTCCTATACGTTAGAAGAATATACTTTTCCTTGCTGTTGAGGCAGACTAGCGATCGAATAGAATGAGGAAAGCTTGCTCACTAACTCCATGCATAATAAAAGTATATTATAATGATGCTAGTGTTGTGATTAGTCGTTTAATCATAAGCCCCTCCCTTGCAGGTTGAGGGAGGCCGAATTGACCACGCCCACCACGACACTCTAGCTCACCGCGCCCTTGACGAGGCCGTAGCGATGGACGAAGCTATTGAAAAGGCCTTGAACCTCACCAGTGAAGAGGTAAGTGAAGTATTATCCACTGGGAGAATTTAGAGCGAATTCTGTTGGCCATTTTACTGCAGTTATGAGCTGAATGAATGAACTAGAGGGGGAGGAGGGGGAGGTCTCCTTAGGGGATGGGGGAAGCTAAGGGAAATTCGTCTGTCCTAATTTATATAACCTTCCTACAGGATACGCTCATCGTTGTCACCGCCGACCACGCTCACACCATGTCTATCAGTGGCTATCCCAGTCGTGGACAGGAAATTATTGGTAAGGATCGCAGACATACTTATAATTGCGCTTAAGTTGTGTGAATGTATATGCTCGTAAATTTACACACATTCACATACACACACACACACACACACTCTCTCTCTCTCACACACACACACACACACACACACACACACACACACACACACACACACACACACACACACACACACACACACACACACACACACACACAGATATGCATACACTCACACACTGATACACACACACACACACACACACACACACACACACACACACACACACACACACACACACACACACACACACACACACACCACACACACACACACACACACACACACACACACACACACACACACACACACACACACACACCACACACACACACACACACCCCACACCACACACAGAGTGAGAGAGTGATTAAGTTAGAGAGAGACAGAGTCAGACATGCATATCACTATTTGAATTTCTATACATAAAATCTGACAGAAAAAAACTTTAGTGCTAAGATACACTTTCCACCCGTTCAGGTCTCGCCGCTCTGGGTGACGACGGCCTGCCTACACCACGCTCATGTACGCGAACGCCCCGGGACTACACCGTCAAGAGATGAGAAACGAGCAGCATCTCGTCTCCCGCTGGAACATCACACAGGAAGTGGCCACAGGATGGGACTACACTCAGCTGGCGGCCGTACCCAGGAACTCAGAGACACACGGTGGCGATGATGTTGCTATTTATGCTAACGGTATGTATATGGTTTATAAGAAAAAAAACTTTATACATTTCGAAAATATTGCTGTGTTCAGTACCTACGGAAAGTTGGTAAAATTTATAATAGGCCTTTATTGTGAGGGTGACATTTTCCAACTTTTAAGAGGTTGTCCAGTAGAAAAATAGTAAATGTTTAGGGTTGTAACAAACAGATGTGCTAGACTTGAAAAGAATAGTAACTACTGAAATTATACATCTGAAATAATAGAAATGTACAAGTAATCGTCCATTTTGAGTTCGTTGCTAATACTGATGAAAACACTTCCAACAGGTCCCATGGCTCACCTTTTCCACACTCTTCACGAGCAGAACTACATTGCCCACGCCATGGCATATGCAGCTTGTATTGGAGCTAATCAAGACCATTGCAAGGGTGCAAGCACCATGTATCCTGGAACACCTACTGTTGGTAAAACAACTGATTATATTGAAACAACTACTGCGGGAGGATCAACTTTAGCTGCTCTACCTGGTGTGGTTCTCGCGCTGCTCTCTGCCTTGTGGTTACAGCACTGAGTGCGTCGCTATCCCTTCATGCTTATCAAATTAGAATATGTGGTTTTATCTTCCAAATACTTTAAACAAATTGGTAGTTTCGAGACCAATGACAGCAGCTAAGTGAAAGAATGTGAAATTTCAAGACCAATTACAGCAGCTAGTTGATATAACTGATTAATTCCTACATCAGATTGACAAACTTAGGGCACTAGTTATGAGAAGCACTGCATTTACACTAGCTAGTATGTGATTTCCGGTATGAATTATCTGACAATTTTAAATTAAAGAACTTATGTCAGTATTTTCTCTATATTTTTATATGTATGGGAATGTCTTTGTCCATTCTTGTTGCATAGCAGCTGGATATTATGCATTTCTAACTAAGGTACAAGTGTCAAGTATCCAATGGTGCTACCGAGGGGCCAAATACTTAGTAAGATAACAAGACTGGTGCTACTATCTTTAAAGCTTGAGTGATACAATGGTTTCTGTGAAATTTAGTGTCTCAGGTATTACTTTGCAAGAGTTATGCTAGCTTGTGAAGAATCACAAGGAAAATATTGGGTTACATGAATTAAATGTTTGTGGGTGGTATGAATGTGGCTGATTATGTAAAATCTATTGGCACATTATTATTACCACCAAAACTTTAAATTTCTGTAACTGGAAAGAGTAAAAGGTAGCTGTGAAAATACTTGATTGACATTTAATAATATATTTGTACATTCTGCTCATCCTTGATGCTTTATGTGGAGATGTTTGTTGACAGGTAAAACCAAGTAGTATTTAAACAATATCCTGACATCACATCAATGGATCACTGCTTTCATTAGTTTCAACCAACATAGATATTTATTCATTGTCACATCATTTTGATCCTTTGAATGCTATTTTCCAGATGAAATACTAGGATATTTGCATATATGTAATTAATTATAATATATATATATATATATTTTGTCAACGTGATCTAAATAAAATATTGATAAAAATCGAAACATTTACTATCCTGCATTATGGTTAGCTAGACATTTGTTGATTTTTCAGAGCTTTGGTATTTAAATAATCCCTTTAAAACTAGTTGTGGTTCGTATATAGAGTAAATTTTCCTGTCTTTGCTTATTTAAAGTATAGTAATTATGAATTTCACAAAATGAAGTCGGCAACAAGAAAAAACCTGATTTTAAAGCATATAACAAAGCCTTTCAATATGCTGATATTGTCTGTGAGTAGGTATTTGAAGATGCATAACATTTACTTTATAAAAGTGTTTTTCTTTTCAACTTGGATTTCAATACAAAATTCATGTTCCTTCATGAACAACATTGTCTAAAGTCTTAGATATGATTATACTGTATCATGTAATTCCAGATTCTTCATTACCCAAAAACCCTGTTCAGCCATATCATAACACGTTAAGGTAGTTACTACTTGATGAATTCTGATAAATTCTTTTTAAAAAATCTTGAATATTCAACTTATATTGATAATATAAGTAGGATCACAGGACAGGCTCTTTTCATATCCAGCCAGGTTGTATTAATGATACACAATTTTCGTAAGTAAAACACTCCTTAGATCTCTCTTCCTTTTTTATGATAAACAATAACATATCAATAACAAATATGTGTAAAGAACTTTAGTAAGTAAAAAGTTCACCTCATTAACAATAAAGTAAATCAAAATCGCATGTACACATAAACACTTTATTTCTACATGAACCATTATAAAAGCTTTATTGTATCTATTTCCAAAATTTTGTGCAGGGTTATCACTAAGTATATGTGACTTCATAACTGATTGGTCTGAAGGAAAAAGGATATAGTTTTGACATTCAATTTATTTTTCATTTCACTGGTTCAAAAAATATCTGCAGGTATACAAATTTGACTTACAAAACTGATTCTTTGGAGAATATCTGTTAAAATTAGCAGTAGGAATAAATATAAATAAAAAAAATGCTTACTTTCTAGACTTTGCTTGTCGCAGAGATGTACCCTCTCCAGCAAAAGATTCAAATTCATCAGGCTCTTCTGGTTTATTTTCAGTATTGTTCACTTTCGGTAACTTTCTCCAGAATTTAATAAAACCTATTTCATAATCATAATCTGGAATCCCACGCTGACGGGGCAATTTTTTAAGAAGTTCTTCTTGAGGAAGTTGCAAATTCTTCTTTTTCCCATCTAGTCTGTTTCCTGAGCCTTGGAAAGAGTAGAAGCCTGTGGGTTCTGGTAGCATCTCCTCTTCTGTATCCTCTGGTAAGGCTGCAGCACTGTCCATTCTCTCTGGCTCCTGGTAGCCCACTGGGGCAGCAAACTCCACATTCATATCACATTCAATGATGCTAACAGCACTCCCAGGCTTGACCTCTAGGACTCGCATTTCATATATTCTATCATTGTAATTAATGGCAATAACATCGTCAGTTGTTAGACAAGCAAAGTTTCGAAGCGCATTTTCCAAAACAGCTTTGGGATTAGTGATATCAAGGAACTCCACATTCTGAGGTTCGAACTTGGAGAACGTAGCAACAGGGAGTGACACAGACTCGATGTGAATAAGATCCCCCTCATCCAGCAGCAGATTTCTCATCATCTGTATATGGAACCAAAAGCCAAGGTGAGAATGCTAGTATATTTTGATATGACACAGCAATACAAAGGTTTGAAAGCATCAAGTTATTTCGGCCAAAACAATTACTTTATATATCTAAAGCAAAGTGGAAACCTTTAAATATTCACTTTTAATGCAAGTAAATAAATAAAACTATGCAACTATTTTTAGATTCACATGATGTTACTATTCATGTATTTCTTTCAGAACAGATTTACTGATTAATAACATAGAACTTACCCAATAAGGAATATAAACCTTTCCTTCATCAGCTACAAATTCTAAAACACCGCAATGTGTATTTCTATTGGCACGTCGGTTGGTTAACTTGAATAACATTGGGTAAACAATGTTAAGACGTGTCAAAACATCCAGAGCTGAAGGTGGCATTATAACTGTAATGAAAGGCAAAATATAAATAATGGAAACCTGGATGGACAAATACATTCATACCAGATATTAATTATGGTGTGTATAACAGAAACCAATTTACAAGAACTACAGAAAAATAAACTATGACATATTCATCTATATCAGTTTAATGCATCAATGAAAACTCGTCACTAAATAAGATAAGAATTATCTTACTTTTGCCGCCATTTTCAACTGATTGTTTGTCAGCGCCAGGGAACATGGATACCGAATAGCATCGGTATTGGGTGTTGAAAGGACGGGGCTGCAAAGGCTCCCCAAACATATTGAAGGAAAACTGTAAGAACAGAAAAGACAATAAATATATTAACAGAGACAATAATGATCAAGAAACAAAGGTACATAATATGCAATTCTTTAAATTACATCGTTCCAAATGAACTTCTACAATGGCATGGGTAACATTAATGGAGTAATGAAAAGGAGTTCATCTGCTAATGC